CTTGAAATATGTGAAAAAATTATATGTTTAGAGAGAAGTCATTGATACTCACTTGACGTGCGGCATACAGGTCAGTACATGCCCGATGGTATATTCAAGTTAATCCCGGCGCATGGATAAAGCCAGACCTTGTACATAGCATTAAATACCCGAAAATGTGCGGGGACTCGTGCCTCTCACATGTCTTCTCTAAGGGGTCATTTTCTGGAAGTTCTTCTTCAGCTGGTCGTATAAAATGCATTCTAATAGCCAGGTTATCCAAAAAAATCCCAATTTGACAAAAACAGACGCGACAGCCGTAAAAGGGGGATCCAAACCTGATGCAAACTGCAAATGTTGGAAAATCGGTATTTGCGTTCCCATAATTATCCATATCCATATCCATAGGCCCACAGCCTGAGGGAAACGTGTCAGTGTACGCGATGAGGGTTTCTATCCCATATTTCAAAAATGTTTTCTAGCAAGCTCTATCAACTAATTTCTAGTTTCCAGAATCAGATTATTTTGAAAACGGGCAGCATGCGTCAAGATGCATGCCACTTAACGGCACAACAGAACATCGGCTGTTAAAAACCTAAAGATTTCCCACTAGCCGTCCACCTTCCGGACAGGACTTTAAGTTACTTTGACTTCTTGCAGTTAGTTTGGCACAATGGCAGTCTTGGTACATCGAACAGGATGCTCACCTATTTGCGTGTTCCAACAGCGAGTGGTTTCGGCTGTGCGGTAGTGCAGCTAGGGTTTCGGCTGACAGGAGGCAAAACCAGTCACAGACAGGGCGTCACTTTGCATACTTTTGGGTAGGCTTGATACCGCTCCCAAGTTAGGGCTTGACGCCCCCTACTTTGGCCCCACTAAATGTTGTTGTGAGTATCCCCAAAGCACGCGAGCAAAATGTGAATGCCGGGCTAGTCCAATGCAGCCGACCTCTCTGAACTGCTGGCACACTAGGTACCTGTACATACCAGGGCTCTCACAGGGGTGTATACAAATCATTAGTGTTTATATGCTTTTGGGTGTCTTCTCCCCCCCCCCCCCCTAATGCTGGCTTAAGCCCAATCAATGCTTCTCTGAGGTCCTTCCCCAAAAGCACATTGAACAAAGATGGAATACAGGGCCATTAAAATCCAGTAAATTTCATTGGACTGCCGTTAAACCAGTTGCCTAAACACACCCCAATTAATTTTATGTTCCAGTTGTACCACGTAGTTTCCTGTTGGTGGCTTGTATTTTCATCATGGCAACACCCCGTATGCTAGCTCAGTCTGCAAAAGTTGATATCTTTTCATGAGATAGCGCAGGTGGGTCACGACAAAAACATTGACTGCAACAGGTGGTATCTTTTTAAGGCACAGGTTGGCCTCAGATTAAAGTTTGCCAACGTTTTTCTCAATCAAAATCGCCCAAGCATGACTGCGACGATATTTGACTATTCATTCAATGGAAAAACACGAGCAGCGACATTGGTAGTCAGATATTCCACATCCGTTAAACAGTGTGTGCAGAGATGCTCCAGATACTCCTCGAGATCCAGGAGGCACAACGGATGAATCTACTGCCTGTGGTCGCTTTCCTGTCGATGTTATCGACGGTGATACGTTCCATCTCAAGTCTGAGACGCCCTTGGGGTCTTGAACGTTCGCTGGCTTCTCTACGTGGACGTGGTCCTTCGTACTACCTGACAGCATAAAGTCCAGTATCGGCAGGTCGGACGAGTGCAAAGTCACTCCCTGGCGGCCTTAAGCTGGTGTGCGCTCCAGGAAAATGATCCACCAGCCGATCGCGTGAAACCCGTGCCGTGTGCGCTGTCACCCCTCCAGCTGGAGCCACTCCTCGTTCCGAACAATTCCGTGAATTTGCCCCAAGAACGCCCGGTAAGATATCAGAGCGGTGGAGGTGCGACGCTCTGAGGCGGTGCTCCTCAGAGTCTTTGTTCCCGTCCTCAGAGCAATGCCCCGCAGTCTTGATTGTGCGGTAAACACACTTGCATCTGTTGAGTAAAGGGTATATTTACTTTTATATGGATCAGCCTGTACATACGAGGGTTTCATTTGTAGGCAGCCTGTTTGTTCAATCTGTCTTTGAATTCTATGCAACCTTAATACTGCTGTATTGTAAAGCCGGGACTTTAGGGCACAATCGGAAGACCTCACCCAGTGTTCTGCGTATCAGTTCGCACGGAAAAAAATCTAGCAATACTACGTTCACACTACTAGAGAGAGGGATCATAAGATTCACACACCAAAATCTAGTCCGATCCTTTTGACAGATGCGTTCCTGTGGTGAGCGCCCGTGCTAAGCGCTGTCTGTTGCGTACGCCCTGATCCCTCCATTCTGTCGTAAAACCTCATACCAGCTGCAGAATGCTGCGACGAAGGCCTACCGTGCCGCAGTACACGCCACGACCCGCCCTGGATCGTGACGTCACCCGACCGGCAAAGCGGTCGCAGTCACCGGCCGCGGGTCATCCCAGTTAAGAAGAAACAGCGAACGCCGTGAGCGGCTGGAGCCCACCCCGCCACTGGCAACCGAATCAGAAGGCAGGCGGTCTATCCAACTGGCAACCGAATCAGAAGGCAGGCGGTCTATCCAACTGAACTGTCGGGACGGGTTGCAGAGCATTTCGTGACGAGACGGTTTAAGAGCAGTTCGGTGGTGCATCTCCTGCCTGATTGTACTAAAATAATGGGTGTAGAATGGTGTCGCAACCATTTGTTTGCAGTGTGCTCCAGAGCCGAAGAAATATTGGGGTGGTTGTTGATCGATTTTTATGAAGAAATCAGACCATAAGCACAGTTGCACATAAGCACCAGAAGCCGCATAAGCACCATAAGCACATAAGCACCATAAGCACAAACGTTTTGTAATAAGTTGAGTCTTCTCAGCATAGCGAACACTTAATGGTAACGTCGTTTCATCACAAACTCCTGGCGTCGCGTCGAAAATGAAGGTCGATTATTTTTATCATGAAAGCTCCCAACCCATTACGCCGAAACACCAAGAGATCAAGGCCTTTCTTGCTTTTTCAACTTCCAACAAGTGTCAAACGCTGGTTGCGCTACCTTTTCAACCGGTCACAGTGGTAACCGTCCAGTTGTCAGTGCTTAACTTCTGTCTCCTTGTTATCTACATGTAGGTTGAGAAGGTTGCGCAGTTCAGATTCATTTGTACATGGGTGCATCCTGGCAGTGTACACGATTTCACTATAACTTCTCTGTACGAGTCAGGTCATTCCATTCTGCAAAAGACTGTTCTTTTGCGTCTTGGGCCACCACTGATGGACAAAATGACATCCGTTGTTGTCTACAGTAACCGGTTGATTCACTAAGATTTTCCCCCTTTGAATTCTTACCATATTCTGAGATGATTACCAAAAAGCAGCTTCGCCTTGGCTGCCATTGTGAAGACATTCATCAGCATTATCATTTTTGGAATCGACTGAGCCTCAACAAAACTAAAAGTTCACATGGGGCGCAAATCAAAGCGTCCGAAATCTGTGGTGAAATCCGGATTTGGGGGAGGCCGGGTCAACTTAATCGACTGAGTCCTCCAACCGATTTTAGAAGAAGACGCCTGTGGTCGCAGGATTTGCCCATACTGGGACGGCCATTTTAAGCTTGGGATCTTATTTTCGTAGATTTGGTCCTTCATTCATGTTTTAGGAGCCCTACGGACGTTTTAAGCTCCCAAAAGTGCTGAGGCCCACTCCACCTCCAGTGCGGGGGGGGGCGGGGGGAGGGGGCATGACTCAAAGGCTCTCTCCGCCATTGACTACACTCCTCCAGCTGTGAATGGTTGGAATCCCAATGCTGTAAGGCGAGGCGCAAAGAACATAAGTATAGTCTGAATCCCTCTTAGTCCTCTTGCACGGACGTTCCAGCTTTGATTTGATATCGGGGATGGTTCCGAATCTGCTGGTTTGAATGATCACCGAAATCAGAAAGTCCACATGTAATCTGATGTCATGTGAGGATACATTTGGGGCTAGACTGGCTGAATAGTCGAGTTGCCAACCTCGTGTTTCCTCTATGAGACCCTGCCTTGTCGAATACCGCGAGCCTTTTTGACGGAAATATGTGCTCTGTAGCTAGGGGATACAAAGCTCGGGTGGTACTTGTGCAGCTTAAAATATTTCTCAAAATTCAAGATGGCAGCCGCGGCCATTTTGAATGCTGGTCCAGTTTCAAAGTTGTTTCTTCTCGATCAGCTGGAAAGTCGTGCGAGACGGTTTTAGAGGGATTTTATCTGGTATTGATTTCATGTCTGGCATTGTTTTACACGCATGGGGTCAAATTTAAGGTCAAATCGGGATTCAAAGGTCAGAGATGATCATGAATAACGAAAACCAACCTCCATTGACCGATATATGTCGCTCATTGTAAGGCTACCCCCTCACAGAAGAGAGTGTGTTCTACATCATAATCATATGAACATGTGCTACATATACGATGCATGTGCTATAGAATGCGTTTTTCACCTGATTGGGTACGTGTGGTCGGGTTGCCATTCGTATGCTTCTTATATAAGACCTTACAACGTCAACTGCCGCGAACTTTTGGCGGAAATGTTCTAAGTACCCAGCTTAATGTAGATAAGGGAGCCAAATTAGCTTGTTTGACAATTGCATAACTTTGAGCATTTCTCAGAATTCAAGATGGAGACCGTCGCCATCTTGAATGCTGGTTTAGTTTTAAGGTCTTATCTCGACGACTCAGAGGGCCAGGCAATACTGTTTATGACGAATTCCCTTATTTTATAGAACATAGTTTCGTCAAAATGTCTGCGGCGGTCAATATTGCTGGGTCAACATTTTAGTAACTTGGCTAGGACTACTGTCCAGGCGTGTAGCCTACAATACAGGCTTTCTGCCGTTTGATGGCAAGTTATAAGCGAAGTTTCATGATCAAGAGAGGCACGTGCGATGACGAGGTGGATTAAGCTCATTGGGATCAATGGGACGAGAGGGATGAAAGACGTCATCGTGCGGTTTAAGACACAGAGTAAGGTCACAGGGCAGCATGGATATCGTCAGATTAGCCGCAGACGGTGTATACATGGGCATAGGTGCATGCATAAAGATCTGAGCGTGTATATTAATTTACATGCGTTAACTACTTTTTTATTTTTAGAACCCTGTTACCCTTCTGGTCGACAGTTTTACCGGTGCGTTGGTTCCTAGCGAAAGGCTTAAATGTTGAAAGATGTCCGAAGACGTCAGTGAAACACTTAACGGTGAAAAGAAGGTGACAGATAAAAAAATGTCTGAAGACATCACCAATCCTTCAAACAGCAGTTCAAACGAATTTGAGGTTAGAGTAAAGAGGCCAGATGATCTGACAGAATGGGAAAGCCAGGAAGATATGTTGGACGAGGACGAACACATCTCACGGCATGGTAAGATATCCCTCCCGACTTGCACAAAGATAGCGTATGTCACACAGCTGTTGGTAGTTGCCCTGGCCTTAACAGCCTTTTCCTTTGCACTCTCTTCTAGTTTAGTTAAACTGAAGTCACGTCACATCCTTGAGAGCAAACAGTCAATCTTTCAAGATGAACCATGGTTCAAGTTAGCCATCTGCCTGAGACCTTTCTTCACGCCATCGGCGTTGGACGAATTTTATAAAGTGCACTTAAAAAAGGATTTGAAATCGTACATTGACAGCCTAAAAAAGCCGACATCATGGAGTGAAAAGACGTGGCTGGATGTCACACTGCAGCCTAAGAGCTATACAACATATTTCCAAAAAGTGCATCCCTGGGACAAACTCCCAGCAAGTGAGCTGTGGACGTACCAAAACAACAGCTTTCGAAAGGCTTTCCAGGAGTTTAAGGTCAACAAGCTACGCCTGACATCCAAGGTGAAAGGCTCATCGGCATGGGCAGATGAAGATGACAACAGCTATACCGTATTGACAACCAAGAAGAAACGGGGATTAAACAAGGCAGACTATGCTCTTTTGGGGCACTACTCCCTGAGTCCCTTTTACGCAGGTTGTTTAAACATCACTGTCAATGAAAGCATGTCCAAGCGACAGATGGAGGTCAGTGTGAGAGTTAAGAACACTGTGCCTTCGAAGCTGGCACGGAGCGATCCAAATGCCAAGCGTATCGTCCTCTTCAAGGCAGCCGATCTTTTTGTTTATGATGCAACTGACGTTTTCACAGAAATACCAATTATTCAAAAGTTTAGCAAATTTAGCATACACTCAAACACATTCGAACGTCTTCTGGTAAAAGGCTTCAGTTATCACAGAAAACGAAGTGAACATAAACATTGTAGAGATCATAAGGGCTATTCGCAAACCAACTGCCGGCAGTGGTGTATAGCACGAAAGCTCTTAGAAACGGTGGAGTGTATTCTACCATGGATGCAAGACATGGTACAAAAGCCTTGGATGGATGAAAGGCTCCAGAACCTTGCTGTCTGCACGGATGCTGAAAGCTTCTTGCAGACGCTTGCTATTCAGGATAAATATTTTCACTCAAACGAAGCCAACTTGACCCGACCCGTCATAGATTGCCTCAAGAGTTGCCCAGATCGGTGTTCTGCGTTCAAGGTAAGCATGCTAGGTAACGGAGAGTATTTTGTAATACAAAAAAAAAACCTGGCGCCAGGACCATTAATGCCGCACGGATGTCGACATTTAGTGAATTCGTGCCGTGGGGATGTTGCAATGTCTGTACGTGATCCAAGCTGCTGCGAGACGATGATTTCGTGGAAAAAAAACTCGTACCACTTATTTGTTATTAGTACATCGGCATGGACAGATTAGCCATCGCTTGAAATCATTATATCTTGCTGCAGCGAAAAATCATTCTCCATACTATCTCATGGGCTGAATTACGCTGTAAAATACCCGAGGCAGTTGTAGTAATGGCGGTCAAGCCATGGGCACCGGGATTTTCACGTGTTATTAGTGGCGTAGTCAGGAGGAATGGGATAAGGTGAAGCTTTTGCCTGGAGGCCATTACCAGTCGCTAGAAAGACTGCGTCTCCCATTTCCCCGTAACTGCAGCTCGACTGATTGTCACAGATATCTGTTCTGCAGCGTGTTGTCCGACATTTTTTCTGACATAATGTCATATCATGAGATGCAACGTACAAATTTGAATCGATGTAGTATCATGGACTTCGGAGCCAGTGACTGCATTTCGGTGCCTCACCTTAATCGCTTCTCAGGTTACTCTCCTGTCGCTTGGAAGCAAATCAATCGGCAGCAACTACGGCATAAGCCTGACCATCTCCCCAGAAGTGGAGTCCGTCACGGAACAGTTCGACTACACCTTCCTGAACATGGTGGCCGAACTGAGCGCATCCATCAGCTTCCTGCTCGGCCTCTCCGCCATCGCCATTTACGACTGGCTGATCGCCTTCGGCGTCTGGGCGGCCGTCAAGCTGGGCATAAAGAAGTGCGGCGGCCACAAGGACGACGAAAGCACCTCGACCGCCAGTCCGGAGGCGCCAACACCTCCGATCCCGCCCGTGCTGCGGGTGCCGTCGCACATAGAAGGCGCGGCGTCAGCGACCGGGCGGCACAGCAGCGGCGCAGGCCTGCCCTGGCACCTGGACCCCGACGCCCCGAAGGCCGGCGGTCACAGGGCGACGCCTGAGGGCAAGAGGAGTCGTCACCAGCACCGCCGCAGCGGCGTCACGCCGGTCACCAGCGGGCTGACGTCGCCGAAGCCGGCCGCCGGCAGCGCCTCGGATCACGCCACACCGAGCGACGCCTCTCCGGAGCCAGACCCCGCAGCGTGATGGGCCGGCGAGACGAGGCGGGACGGCCCTGGGCGCGGCCTGTCGGAGGTGGACTCCGGGCGGTCGGACCTCGACTTTGGGCCGCCTGTCCGACCAGAGACCGCTGGTGGTCACTTATCGGTTAGAGGCATATCTCTCACTGTGTGTGTGGAATTTTGGTGGCAACTGCATCATATTTGTCTTTACTGCAGATGCTGTATTTGTTGTGCTGCTGGACATTCAGTGTCCTGACCTGCGCTGTAGTGGGCGCGTTGGTTTGTCCTGCTGAAGCTCATCCTAGCGTAGACGCACTCTTCGGTTCGACGATCTAAACTGGTGCATTGCAGTAATCGCCGCCGAGGTAATTTCCCAATTTATCGTGTTGCCCTTTTTGAAGCGTTCAGGCCTTTCTACAGACTTCCATCAGCGTTTTACTCATGTTCCATTTGAGGTGTCCAGTGGTATGGTTGTTAGCTGGGATCAATACATAATTGTGCTTTCTGAAGTATTTACTCGCGACTCCTTAACAGCAAATGCAAGCAGATGAAATTATACGCGATGCGTCGCTGCTATCCACGGATTTCGCGTGAGTGATCAGCCCTGCATTCTTGACGGAGCTCCTCTCGGAATCGGTCTCATGCGTAAACAATGTAGCAAAATTGTTAAGTAATGTAGTAAAAAAGTATGCGTGTAAAACGTGTGCGTCGGGGGTCTCATACTGAAAGCAATCGTGTTTCAATGCATATTGGTGTTTCGTGATTATATGCCTATGTGGAGAATAGTACAGAATACCTGATGTAGTACAAAACAATGCTTTTGTATGAGGTGGGGTGGTTCAGGCATAGGAGATTTGATCGACGGCAAGACTGTTACCAGTATGTAGGGAACATTTCGTATTTGAAGATAATAAAGCAATCATCAGACTTGATGAAATGAGCTCACTTATATCTATTGGTATACTTTTAATTGGAAAAGGTTGCTGTAGACAACATAAGTTCTCTTTTTTATTAAATATGATCCTCAATTCGTCATTGTTTGATTAGATCATTGTACCTCGCCCCACATTGATTGGGAACCAATTGGCGGTAGTTATATCTAAAATCGTGCTTACGAACGCCAGATATAAACGACTTTACAATTACATTTGTCTTGGCCTTGACCGTCGCATGGCCAATGGAATGGCAAGATTTGAATCACGTTTGTTATGGCATTACGGATGCATGGGTGACCTTGATATAGTCTCCCAGAAGAAGTCTGCACATCTTTGCGGGTGTGTGGCTCGTGAACAGAGGGGCTCAGGTTTTAAGAAGGGCGGGGCTCTGAACTGCACCAAATGATCTTCACGATGATCATTTCAGTTACAAACCCGTAGAAATTTGGAACACTCCCTTTAACGCAGTGAAACGTCGATTCCAGATTTTTTCCGGTTGAATGGTGCATGGAATCGGTCCACCGAGCAATCTCAAAACGTTCCTGTTAACGAATCATATAGATATAAAATGTAGCGTTCCATCTGCCTAAAATTATAAGACAACGCAGCCGAACAAAATGCAGGGTGTTTCACCGGTTATAGAACTTCTGTAGCAGTGGCCCTTGGGAGGAAAACTCAGCAACGCGGAAAAGGGTGTTATAGGATCTCTCTATATAGATGTAGAAAAAAGGTCTGGCTGCATGTAGAGCTGTGAATATCGATGAGTATTATCGATGTTTTCTTTGTTATCGTTTATCAACAAAAATGCATGATAATCACAGATCATTTCCTGTTCATTTAAATTGCAAGCGATCTGTGGCCTAGCAGTCATCACTGAAGTTTGTTTTTAAGCACAAGTTGCGTCTCGTGAACTGCCGATGCATCATAAGCTTGACATACAAGGCAACCCAAAAACAAAGATGCTTTTTTAGATTCATTCGCCGCTGTAATTCTGGCTCCCCTTTCCCTCCCTCCCCTAGCGGTGGAACCCTGTAAAGAACGCTTCGCTGAATGTACCACACATTGGTTCGCTCATAAGCGAAAAAGACAAAGACGCAGGCTGAGGCCGAGCTCAGATCCCCTGCAGGTCCTCATTACCCGACACCACAGTGGCTGAAGGCTGGAAGATCTTGACGGAGGAAAAACTGTCATCCACATTAGCAAATTTTACGTTGATGTGTTCAAACGCTTTGGTGTGCGCAAACTATGGATTCGGCTGTTTTGGAGCGTTTTACAGCATGGTGTCAGAACCCTGCAATGGCGGCAGATGAAAACGTGCAACTTATTTCGTGTTGTAGGCGTGTGTACTGGCTCCAACTCACTGAAATAATCAAAGCTGTCAGACTCATGTGCACGCAAGTAATCGACCAAATTATTATCTTCCGAGAATGAACACGAACTGCATGGCCGACAATGAAACCTAGCTTATAAATCTACATCGGCGTAAACCTCTATCATTATAACCAATATGCACCCCAAATATTTGTACTTTTAGATTTTGGTACATTTATATTTCGCGATTACCTTGTTTTCCACAATTCTTCGGTCATTATTACCAGAACTATAAGCCGTAGCATGCCCAGGTGCGTCGACTCGGAGTTTGAAATGGGGGCTGACCTGTTGTGTCAGAACAACGTTTATTCACAGTACGAATGTGTTAGCTGCGCAAGTGCTGCCCACTTCCATATGCAAGCTGCAAAGATCAGATGACGCTGTCTCGTTAGCTGACTTAGAAGTAACTGTAGACCTGCAGGAATGAGAGACACTGCACCAGTTTGAACGGAAATGACACCGGATTTATGATGGCTGAAGCTGACAGAAGATATTACCCTGCTAACAATGAATGAGCTTTGCTGCTCTAGCGCGCGTTGCTATCGCAATTTCGCCAAAAATGGTTGTGATGAAGACTGCTTTCCTCCCAAAATGAAGGTCAGGTGGGCGACTGAGCCGGTGCATCATCTAGAAGAGAGAACCGCTATCAAAAAAGGAAGCACTAGCGAGGGGAGCACTGGGAGCTTCTCCAACAGTTTTGCCTCCCTGCGGTTGACGACTTGTAATCCACTGCTGGAGGAAGCGTGCGGGCTGTGAACAGCTATGGAAGTACCCGGTGGCCTGGAGGACGGCAGGCTGCTGGACTCGAACGGCTAGCTGAGATGTACTCGCAGTTGGCCGAGGTTCCGTTCGGGTCTCCCGTCGCCGGTCCTGCCGGGGAGCTCCTGGGAGCTGCGCGCACGGGCTGCTGGTTGGGCGTCTGACGCTTCTGGTGCGTCAGGCCGCCGCCGTCCACCGGCAACGAGGCGCCATCGGCTCCGACTGCCGGCTCTTGGCGCGCATTGGCAACTCGTGTGAAGCACAGGTGTCAGAGAGTCGCTCTGGTCCATGCCTGGGGAGATAAAGTCGCGTCGGCAAGAGTTTGACGACGGGACGGAAAAGTCAGGTTCGCTCCTTGTTCGCGGAGTACAGTGAAACTTTCAGACACGACTGAGTATTTAATGGTATTTTACATTTCAAAAAAGCATGCGCCTCAAACCGGTCATTCCTTCTGTCGCCGGTCACCGGCCATTTCGCACACACGCACGCACGCACGCACGCACGCACGCACGCACGCACGCACGTACGCACGTACGCACGTACGCACGCACGCACACACGCACGCACGCGCGCGCGCACGCGCACACGCACACACACCACTCTGGCGTCACCTCATCATCCTCCACCCAACTATCCCCATACCCCCACGCACCACTCTGGCGTCACCTCATCATCCTCCACCCAAATATCCCCAGACCCCCACGCATCACTCTGGCGCCACCTCATCATCCTCCGTCCAACTATCCCCAAACCCCCACGCACCAACCTGGCGTCACCTCAGTCGTCCTCCACCCAGCTGTCCAGCGCCGCTGGGGCGAGCCTGCCCGGCCGCTCGGCTCCGCCGGGAACGCAGTACCCACAATCGCGGACGAACAGCATGCCCCCCCCCCCCCCCTCCCTGCAGTAGCATCAAACGTGTTCGCGTCAACGGTCGAGAAGGCCGCTTTAGACGAGACGTGTGTGCGGTCGGTAAATAGTGTTATCCATACCCGCTGCTGCCGGCCTCCCAGTCCGTCTCTGATGGAATCGCTGCAGGAATCGCTGGGAATCCGTGGGAGCTATATACGATAAATTGATGGACGAACTTGAATTAAAACGTCAGCACACCGCAATAAGTAATGAAATGCTGACCACCACCAAAAGGAACGCAGCACGCTTAACCCAAGTTCAAGTGCGTGGTGAGAGAAACACATGTGAGGCTTCAAGGGATATATGTACAGCGCGTATTGCTGTATCGTGTATCTTCATTTTCAGAGTTGTCTGTTTGGGATGATACTCGATCGAACAGAACATAAATACATCGGCTGGGAAAAAGTATTTCATTACACACTGAGTCAAGGTTATCCTCAGCTAGTTGTACAGAAGCTCTGTGCTTGCGAATCATCCGTTTGATGGCTTTCGTGTTTTTTTATGGTAATAGGTTTCACGTCATGTTCATTTTTGAGAAATGACTTTGCCGACGTACTTCGCGACATCTGTTTAAGCATCACAGCTTGATTCAAATCAATCTCTGTGTGCTCTGTACATGGTATCGGTGATGCCATGTGCCCTTTATTCTTTCTAGCTTGTTCGAGAACCACCCGGAGCTGAAACAATCCTTTCAATCTTTCCGAGGCAAGTCTGCGGAGGAGCTGAGAACGTCCAAGGAGCTCAGACAGCACGCGTCTCGGTAAGATCTTGAGATTGCCATCTGGGTGGAGTCTTGCAGGTAAACACCCCGTTACTATACTGCACCGCACGGCTGGTCTGTGCTGCGGGCCGGCGTCTGGCAGGCGGCTGCACTCGGAGCCCCCATTTCAGGTGGCTTCCCGCCTAGAAATGCTTAGTTTCATAGCCTTTTCCAGAAATATACATTGTTTAATCGGAGGGTGACTTATTTATGGTGTATAGTCCATTGTATGCAAAGCCTCGTCTACGTATGCAGCCAAGTATATAACGTTTCATACTTTCGAGGGGAAAAATGAGCTCTATGCGTTGAAATTTAGAAAGCCAATGATTTAGGTCCCAACATAGAACACTATGTGCCGCATATGGCCCCAAAATACGCATCATCACATGAGTGATCATTTTTGAAAAGGTGTCATTTCATCTTTGCAGCACTTTCCACAGTCGAAATAAAAGCCAGGCCTATGCAATGACTGCATTGCCGCACAGTAGAGTGCCCTATAAGTAACATCGCACATCTCTTTTTCGTCTTCTCCCCACGTGTCTCCGCAGATTTTTAGGGACACCAACAAACACTGTTGTGGTGGTAAAACAAACCCATACACTCCCAACCCACGCACACATCAATCAATATGATTGTCCAGTCAGCAGGGCAATGTGCAGAATGTTGTCTTTTTGGACTAGTGCCTAGCAGCAAAGTCCGTTGCGCCCCATAAATATCATGAGCGAGTAACTACCCTTCCCATCAATGCCCGTCACGGTTCGTAAACATCAATCGACGCTCTCGAAATGGCTGACAATAAAGGAAGTCTAGACTGCCGTACGCCTAACTTCAGGCCGCTATTAACGGCATTTCAGCACCAGGAAAGCGCATGATGAGGCCAAACGAAAATTTAGTGCCAGTGTCGCCATCCGCGTGGCATTACCGTACAAAAATGGCGTTCCGTTGCAGAGTTATGGGCTTCATAAACAAGATCATCGTCCGGCTGGACTCGGAAGAAACGTACACCGTCATGATACAGGAGATGTGCTGCAGACACATGCTTTACCAGGCGCTTCCACGGGAAATGAAGGTAGGTTTCGTCTGGGCCGTCGGCTCGTGTCCCACCCATGATTTCTCATCTGGCTGAGTCGTCTTCACTCTCTTTTCAAACATATGATAATGTTTAAATGTAATGACTGCCCCGCTCTCTTGTAAAGCATCAGCAACGTTAAGTTCACTTGTGCGCCCGTTGTGATGTATGACAATCTTTTCTCAACGATAAGCAGCTTTGGAAGGGTGTCGCTTCTGAGACTTTGCTAATGAAACCGGTATGACATGTATGATTTCATGGTCCTGGTACACATGGGCTGGAGAGACAAGACATCTCTTTTAACGTGCGCGTCCTTGCACTTGATTGCTACGTGCCGTGCTCGCTGCCAAAGGCTGGATGTCTTCATGATATACAGCACATAGGAAGCTGCATCTGGAAGCCGAGTGTGATTTTAGCATTGAGCTTATTTCCAAATATACTGGAATTCTTACGTTAATACAAAACCACGGCATTTCTGTTGATTTCGTTGCCGATTTGATTTCCCAGACTTTGGCAGTAATCATACAATTACTTCCAGCTTACACTCCGCTTTCATAAAGGTTGGGGGCGCGGCTTCAATCTCATCGTGGACGCATTCCTCGCAAATCATCCAAACATGTCCATACATAGTTGTGCTGGCATTCCACGCGCCCGTCTTATCCTCGCGTGAGCCCCGGCGTCGGTCCACCTCACCGCGCTTTTGGTGGCATCGGACCTGCCCACCTGTGACCCTGCGACCCCTGACCCACTGGCGGTGCCGTGACCTTCGCCAGATCCTGGGTCGCCAGTTCATTTCTGTCATCGCGTCGACGCTGCAGGCGGCGGGGAGATGGGACGACCAGGCGCAGACCGCCTGGGAAAACCTTTTCACGGTCAGTATCAACCCTCACCAGCTGCCTCCTGCCTGAGAGATGGAGAGCTTCCCACACAGACCCAACTTGCGGAATGATATTCTTTGGGCGGATTCGCGTGCCGTGCTTCCACTGGTCTGTAAGCAATCAGCGCCAACGACAAATATATGCATCGGATGCCTGGGGTAGCCGCACTGACGTCACTGGCCGCGAGCAAGAAACGAGACCGGCATAGTTTTAGCTGTTTTCGACAAACTATTTTCCTGGGCGGCATCTTATTGGATACACGTAGCGTAATGTCAAACGCGTTACTTTACGGAGAGGGATGTGTCAAGGGGGTAGTATCGGATGCTGATGAGCATTGGAAGCGATCTCACTACGTTGCTGGATGATACGCGTGTCTGTTTGGGTATGGAAAACACTGCGGCCTCAAGCTGCCTTTAAACGAGGGAAAGATATTTCAAATCATTCAGAAAATGAAATGGAAGAGCGACGACGCCCAATCCGCGAAAAATACTGTTCATTTTCAGGTAAACATATGCCATACAAAAACTTGCAATGCAGTTATGCATGGTGTTGATTAAGCATGACATCAGAGCTATGTAATCTTTTTTGTAGCATCTGACTGGAAACAGTCACCATTCAAGCATACTGAAAGGCGCTAGTCCTCTTCCTACCTAAGTTTCTTTCTGTTCTTTGTTTCTTGACAAAAGAGACGCTGCCACGTCAATGAGGAATCGTGCTTTAGAAAAACATAGACTACCACGATTCATTTCCATTCCCTCACATCTCACAATGATTTATAAATTGAACGATCATACAAACTGGAAAATAGCCGAAGCGCTACTTAGAAGGATCCAACGTTTACAGTTAAATGCCAACAGTTTCTTGAAATGTTACGTGCATTTGAGCGGAAAATTATGCGCATAGATAAGACAGCAGTAATAGTCTTATTCCTCTGAGAAAAATCAGGAGAATGGAGATTTAGATGCGCGATATTTCGGCAACATGCCTTTATCAAAACGAATGGCAGAAGTGAATTTAAAATTGCTTGCCGATGATCCTACGCGATTCTTCTTTTTTTAAACAGAGAGCCACATTTTTTACGGGACATCAACATTCAAGGGATTGAATAAGGAGCACTTACCAGCCTTTACTAAGATTCGGTGCATACCTAACTGAGGATTAGAATGCGCGAAAAATACGTGCACACGCAAACGACTTCGATTAAACAGGCATCGCGCATCACGCATAAGGTATCATTTACGCATGTAAACCATTATAACCTGGCACACATTACACACCAAGGCACATATCACGTTCGCATAATCGGCCGCGATGAGCCCTGTTCGGTAACACGCGCCCGGGTGGCCAGTTGGATGCCCTTCCGTCGGGTGAGGAGTCTCAAGAACTAAGAGGACTAGAGGTGCCCAAATTTACGGGGTGTGTTTCCTGTACCCTATCTCACTCAGGTCAAAGTTTGAGGTGCCCCCAGAACAGTGCCCCCAGAACCTAGATATCCGTCCGAGAACAAGGTCACATGATCATTTAAGGTCAGTGACCTTGTTTGAACTTAAGAAGGTCATTGTAACCAAAATCACACAGGGTTGCTTTGAGTTTTGTATTTGAAAAAGCGACAAAGATTACGCTAGGCAGCATGTTCAAAAAAAAACACAATGTTGACCTCGGTAATTTTAGGTCAGTGACTTATTATGACCTTTAGGAAGTGCATCTAAGATACATAATGCGGTCCTGCTATCACTTAATGAGAAATGAGCACCAGAAACGACCCCATACAGTGGGCCCTACAGTAATAAAACAGACTGGCTTGGAGCTTGGTCTGGCATTCAAAACTGAACTTAGGTCGGTGAAATGTGTTCATTCCATTGTTGAGTTGCCTGAGAAAGTATCTTAGAGATGTATGGTGTCGTCTAGCACTCCGTTGTTGCATCAGATTGAGTGATTTCCTAGGCATTGACTTCGTAGAATCTATCGCCTGACTTTGACCTGCCGTAGGTCAGAACCCTTGCATGGTACATCTAAATTTTTAACACCAAACCATTTGTGATTTAATTTTATACAGCTCTGCAAAATTTGGCGCGGATGCGCCGCGCCGTTCGGAAAGCATTTTGGAAAGCCCTTGGTGGGTCAATTTGACCCCCACACGAGCGCGTGTCAACGTTTGGTCGCCGACTATTTATGAGAATAAATTTGCTTATCCTCCTGTCTGGGTGGTCCTGTGATCTGTAGATGAACTTGAGACCTAAAAGAAGCAAAGGTTCCACAATATATATATATATATATATATATATATATATATATATATATATATATATATATATATATATCAAGCCTAAGTGCCTCGAGACCTGCGTGACCGGGTGGCAATAGATGTCATTTATGCAAGTCTATGTTTCAAGGTCTATATTTGTCGATGTTTGTCATTTTAAGTCTATGTTTGCACCAAAAAAATGGCTTACCAGATTAAGTGTTAACTGTGTGAAACACAAGCGGGGGACATAGCTTATGTTGGGGAAGTACATGCGCCCTATCCGTTTCAAATACAATGTACACCAACGAGACGCTAAGAAATCGAAAGGGTATCAATCCCCTGAATGTTGGCGTCCTGTAAATACTGTGGCTCGCTTTAAAAAGAGCTGAAACTTCTGCCATTCGCTTCGATAAAGGCATGTTGCCGAAATATCAACGGAGCTATACTTCCATTTTCCTGGTTTTACTCCGAGGAATGAAGTTTTACTACAGTCTTAGCCAACAGTGTCTCCTGGCCCATCATGGAATAACGACATTTTAGTCCAGTTATGTTCATTGCCTGTGTTGTGCATTTGTATGTGATGTGATGTACATTGTGTGAGTCACAGTGATACAGTTATGTGTAATTATCAGTGATATATGCATCAGTGTAATTATCACGCATGTTCTTACATGCATGTCTCACCGAAAGGAGGAACAGTTCTACGTAATCTGAGGCACTGGATACACAGCGTATTGTGCAACACTGATAATTCTTATGTGAAGGGATGTTTTGATAGTCTGTGTATTGAAAAGCAGTGTTTGCATCAGTTCTGTGTGACCTGTTCTCTCTCCTGACGCATCGGTAGCAATTCACTACGTTCAAAACAGATGAACAGTTGCGACGCTTGATATTTTTTTATTGAAGCACTAGTTTTACATGCGAAGGAAAAGGTCGAGGAAATGGCAACTTATTTAGTCCAATATTGACGAAAAGGGATGAGCTTGATGCTCAGATGTTCCATGCCGACCCGCTGCTGGTGTTCATTTCATCTCTGCATTTGCCTGCCACACATGTCGGACTCGCCTACCATTGGTCCCGTCACCATCCGTCGGCCCTCTGCCGCACTCGATACACAACATACATAGCGTAGCCCCCCGCCTCCCCCTCCCGCAACTGGTGCGACGCGCCAGGGCGGCTCGCCTGACCGTCCGCTTGACCGCTCCCCACCCCCCCCCCCCCCGCGACCGCTGCCGCAGTTCATCGCGAGCACGTACGAGCTGACGCGCGCCGAGGCCGGCCTGGCATCTCGGCGGTGCGACGGCCGCCGCTGGTCGCAGCTCGCCTGCGCCCGGCGCGGCAAACACATCAGGAAGGACTACTACATCGAGTATTGACTCGGTGGAGGAACGTGCTCACGCAGCGGGGGCAGCTGGCGCGAGCGGCGCGCGGGGCGGTGATGGCGCGGGTGGTGTATGGCGCTTGTCTTCGGCTTGTGTGGGTGTTCGCGAAGATGAGCGAAGTTATCCGTACTTTTGTTGGCTGTCGTCGCTTTGAGTTATAGCTTGATGTCTGATGCGTCTTTTATGTTCTGAGACACAAATGGAAGCAGGTATTGTCGTAACTCGTTAAAACAATGGAAATGCTTACAAGTGAAATGGTAACGTACAGTAGCGTAGGAAAAACATCCCATACTATTTTCTATTATTGTGTCGCACGCGTGCTCGCACATCCTCGAGCTCATTTAGAGTTTTTAGGCCAAGATCTGATTTTACGGCTGTATTCCGCAATTTGAATGCACATTTCGCCAACATCTTCAATGCACCTTTAGCCTGGCCAGTGCATAGTGCAACCTGCATCAAAGATACTCGGCGAAATTTAGTCGCAAATTGTGGAACACTTAGATGGAATGCCGGCTGGACAATGCACTGGAATGGGATGCCTGCAAGATGGACGCCCGCCTCCCATTTGTCTTGTCATCTTGGCAATACGCTTATCGCATGCAAGAATGGGCTTATAACAAACACCCTCCGTCCCTTAATCACCGGCCAGCCATGTCGCCCTTGTATACGCTAACCATATGAAAAAAGCGGCGAAATATGTGTGTTCCTCTCGAAGTACCGAAGCACGTGAAATATTGAAGAGCGTTCTTATCAGCACATGTGGCCACAAAATACATACCATTGGATATTTTCCTCCGTGTTTGTCAATATCCTGCCGACTGTGTGGGATAGGAGAAGCCACCGTGAGGCCAGGCTGCCCGCCGCTAGCGAGGTGGGGGATAAAAAGAGTGGAATGTGAAATATGGAATGATAGAAATGGTGGAGCTACGATGCCACGCCACTCTGCCAGCGCGTACAGATTGGAAAGATGACCTTTTTACGATGACCATTTACTAGCTACTGTTTATTGTATCAATTACACTTCGACATTTTCGGTATCCTCCCGCCTCTGTCTTTTTTACTCACATCGGCCCGTTTATTACCACCATCCGGTGCGGGTGTACTGGCTAGTCAAACAGTAAGCATGCAAATAAGCAATTGGATTTTCTCAGCCTTCAGCAAACGAATGTATGGCGCTGCTGCTCGCCATACATCCAGCCGTGCCTCCATGCCCGGCCAAATATTGGCTGGCGTGTGTGTACGCCGTCTGTGATTTGAACGTACTTGTCAATAATGATGCTCCGCCGCGGGTTCCACTTGAGACCAACCATGAAATGTACATGTCGAATGTAACAACAGATAAAAGTCGGCAAGCGGCAAGAATCGGAACACATTTCCCGATAGATCTGGTTCGAGAAGCTTGATGTATGTTTCATAATGAACCCCTTCCGACTTCAGTGCGGTAACAAGCAAATGGTAGGAGGCAGTTGTCACGCCATCTTTTTCGAAGGCCATATGAATTCGTGCCGATTGGCGCATTAAAAACACCAACATAGATTTTCATCGAGACAGTATGGATTGATTCGTGAGAGCGGATTGGTGCATTAAAACACCAGCATAAGTTCTCACCGCGGCGGTATGGACTCAATGCGCGCGTGCCAAGTAGTGTATTTACGAAACCAAGACCAATTTCCATGACAAGGCAGCAATGCTTAACGCTCAACGCATCAAATGCCGACCTGATTAAAGCTGCACAACGGCCGGCAATTGCTGCAGTGCGACCAGAGGGAAGTGCACGAGATAATCGCACCCTATGCCACACAACGTCGCAAACGGCTTCCACCATTGAGTGCACATGTTGCCGGTAGTCACCGCCAGCCGTCACATGCCATCGCTAGATGTCTCTGCCGGCGTGTGTACCGATACAGCCGCCGCTATGCGTTGCCGGAGTTTATCGATGCAGTTCGGTCGGTATGTGGCGCGCTATCGATACTGTGCGTCGCACAGGGCCACTTTCCCCAGCCAGCGGCTGCAAACCCCAATAGAGAAGACGCTATCAACAGGAGCCCCGTCATCTGGAACGGCTCGTCATAGCTGCCGGTCTTCTCAGCGACAAAGCCTACGAACGGGAGGCGCAGTTAGCATGGTGCATCTCTGTATCAAGTTACGCGAAGTATTAGAGACCTAATATCTGAGCAGGTAAGTGAAGCGAGGCTGTGCTCCAGTTAGCAGCAAACGCCCTCTTCACTACACAGCGCAGCGTATAGGGGCCCTACTACCTAAATAAGCAGTCCGAAGAGCGAAGTTCCGTATGCATGTTGCCGTCGAGGGCAAGGATAGGATCGCAGTTTCTAACAGATAGTTGCAATTTCTAGCAACACTTAGCTCCCTGATCAAGGCAAAACATTTCTGCTCATACCCATTATCTTCGAAATTAACATGGTATTTGCAGATCTGTAACCTGCATTAAAGCAAAATATTAGGTTTTACCAAATCACAGCTCCTCAGAACCTCGATATACCAGAACCATAGCGAATTTGCTAGCACAGTACGGAGATAATGCGAAAACAGAATGTCATCAGTAGCCGACACTTCCAACACATTGTATTCTCAGTTCGCGGCGTCCTGGACGCAACGTGATGTTACTTTTATATTTAAGTCGCTTGTCAAATGAACACACCCCAGACTTCTGTCATCTCACAAGCAATTCCCAGCACCCACCCAAGCCTGCAGACAATTCTACCAGCACAGCATCATCCGCGTCGTGATCTATGGGCCCGGAACAGCCTCCTCCCTCAAGCCCATTGACCATTGCGATGCTATCGCTGCTTCCCACGAGGCCAGGTCAGCCCTTGCCCGTGGCGGATGACCCCGGACCGCCTGACCTGCCAGCGGCGCACCCAAGACGGCGGCCACGCCCCGGAACAGCAGGGTCAGACCGAAGGCGTTGGTGAGCCGATCCAGGCCGACCATCTCGAGCAGCACGAGCGACGACAGCGTGCTGCTGGCCGCTGCCGACAGGCCGGAACACCACCGTCACGGGCTGACCGCGAAACAGTGGCAGCTGGTGCTGACAGCTGACGGGATAACTGACACAGACAGGTGTCACGGCCAGTGTCACTGTCACCGTTACTGAAAACTGGCTCTGCCACTGAAAGCCGACACTGGCACTGGCAGCCGAACCCAATGCTGACAGCTCACCGAACAGTGATATCGTCACAGATGGGACGGCCTGTTGTAGAGTTCACTGTAGAGTTCTGACATGGGACGCTGACTGAACTGATACAATCAGATATTCTCGGCATGGGTACGTTACCATACGCACCATACCGCTTACGGCTCGGACAGGCATGACGTTGCCTTGAAGTCGCAGTCTAATCCTTTGAGTTTCTGCATGAATTAACATGAGTCGCTTTGGTAGTAGCAACAATGGAATGCAAGATAAAATTGAAGTGTTCCTACAAAAATGAGTTCGTTTTGCAGGAAAATATATTTGAAGTGCCCGATTCATAACTAACTAGACATGAATCATGTACCACACCCGCATCTGGCAGTCATACAAAAGCGCACCGCGTCTATCTATTCTCCCTTCGCCTGCTAGCTTCCTCTCACAATCCGTGCCCCACCATCCTTCCTCCCCTGCCGGTGACACTGACAGGCGAAGAGGCCGAAGATGGCGGCGGCCGTGGCGTAGGCGCGGTAGGTGTCGCACAGCGGCACGAGCAGCGCCACCAGACCCGAGCCCAGCAGGCAGACGTCGCTCAGCAGCAGCACGTTCACGTGGCGCATGTCGCTGAGCAGGCCGATCAGCAGGCGGCCCAGCGTGTTGGAGGCGCCCAGCACGGACACCAGCAGCGAGGCGCGCGCCGGCTCCACCCCCTGCCGCCGGCCGCGCGGCGTCAGCACGCACAGGGCACGGCGCTGGGTCAGCAGCAAGACGCCTTAAAAGATATCGAATTGTTGGGGTGGGACATGGATATCCCAAAAACCTGAGGTATGGGGTGGTTTCTGGTTTGGGCAGTTCTTGTGTTTTTAGCAAATTTTGGGGTGGACTGATACTCCACGGAGGGGGAGGGAGGGGACAAACATGACGACAACGGCCTCTCGCACATTACGCAGATTGGCTGAAGTCTTAATGATCTCTTTGTTCTCTTAATGTGTTTTTGCTGTCCTGTAATGGTACGGCTGTAATCTGTGAAAAAGATGTCCCGTAATTGCTAGTCTCTATCATTTACGCCGTATCTTGGCAATTTTGCCCTTCTGGTGTCTAATAAAGCATTACTGTTAATCAAATGATGCAAAATCGATCTGCTCTAATTGCCGATGCCTGTTATTGATAATTAAAAAGCAATAAAATATGTAAACCAATGGCTTTGCGTTCCAGTGCGCAAGGGCATTTCTAGGGAATCTTCCAATCTGATGCAAAAATGGAGTGTGAGACGAAGCCATGCATGTCTGAGACGGCTTCTTAGACAATGAGCCAATCTTATTCAAAACTACAACAAATTGCATTGGCCAGGGGCGAGGTATAAAGGTCAGAGTAAGGTCAACCTAAGCTGCTTTTTGACTCGAGAGCTCGGTTTAGGGGGTAGTTTCTGGTGCTCCTTTCGAGTTGATTAATCACAGGAGGCGAAACAGGCACGTTCCATGAACTTTCATGGTCAGATAAGGTCACTGACCTGAAATAACCCAGGCCAGCATTTTATTTTAGGAACTTACCACCTAGCGTAATCCCTGACGCTTATTTGAAAAACAAAATAGGAGCAATCTCGTAAGCATTCGTCTATCTTGGCCTCATAACTGTCCAACAAGGTCAATGACTTTAACTGAACACATCGACCTTTTGCTTAGAACAAGTATCTAGCTTCACAGCGGCTGCATGAGAAGGTCTGGGGCGCTTGAGACACCAATCTGGAACTTGCCCTTGCTTGACCTTATTTGACCCCGAAGGTCATGATTTAGGAGCCTCAGATGTTGACACAAGTGAGTTCACATACAGCTCAATCCATCATGCA